CCCTGCTGGCCTCCTCATGGAAAAYACAGGAGGAGCCTGAGCTCGTGTGTGTGTGTCTCTGTTTGCATGTGTGTGTAGCTGCAACAGGAGTAAGCCATGGCCCTGAGGATGGAGAATGTGTAGATCTCCTTTTATGAGTTGGCTTCTGCTCCTCGTCTGTTGTTTTCTATTCGCCCTATCATCTTTTAGTGAAAGATTTTAAAAAGATCTTGAAAATCTTTCCTCCTGAGTGACCAAGGACGCCTTTTCCTTTTATTCTTACAGCAAGACTGGTTCAAGAACATGTTTATGCTTGTCAGGCTCCCTCCCCTTCCCCATCCTCCTGTATTTATTCCTTTTTGTTGGAGAGGTGGCTGCATCACCTGAGGAAGAGCCTAGCCTGTGGCCAGTCCTCATCCCTCATGGAGCATCTCTGTCCTGACAAGCAGGATGAGGGTTTCCAGCCTTCATGGTTCTATGTCCACTCTGTTGAGGCTGCCAATTAGTGGAGGAAGCGATGATTGGATTCTTTTCCCCCATGCTGACAATTGACCTAAGCCGCAGTAAGACAGGAAATGCAATTAGACAGCGGATGATCTTGGGAAGGACTGGAACTAATGGCTTTACATTTTGTGTTTCTCACAAAATTTTGATTTATCCTTTCAATCTCCCTACAAGTTGCATATGCAATGTAGTGAGGTCGCTTCATCCTCTCCTATAAGGTAACTGCCCTCTGATCCTCTTTCAATACGGCCAAGCAACGTGAATAGCCAGTTACAGCTCTCTCGGGTACTAAGGTCGCCAGTGCTTGAGATAACACTGCAACAGGCACTGTAGAGATGTGCTGGTGACCAAGGTCACCATGTAACACCGCTTTCTTGCTGGGCTTTGGCTGGAGGGCATTAGACCCAGCAAGGCTCCTCGGAGCTTGAGCACATTCCCCTCTGCAGAGCAGCATCCAAGCCCCTGCCCATCATCTCCAGGGAGCAGTGGCTGCCACTTGGCATCACAAAACGGAAGACAGGTGGTTCTGAGACCCCACGGGAGAACTGGAAGCGCCGCATATGGGTCCCAGTATGAGAGACTGAGCAGCCCTGACATTTATAAATAGATGGGCTACCGCTCTGGGCGATCAGCACGTAAATGCCTGTTGGGCTGATGTGGCCACATACCATCATTAGACTGCACAGCGATGCAGGGGAATTAATTCAGTCGGCTGGAATGAAGCAAGTGTGGATGGGGTTGTTTATTTGCAGCACCAGATAACATACTTTTGTGAACACTGCCCTAGCAAATTAGTTAGATCAGGGTGATTYCCTGCCTTCACCTGCACAGCAGCCTGCCAGTCCCTTTTGTTTTATGCTCATCTGCATTTGGAAGGTAAATACAAGATACGCCCCATGGTGACCTTTAGAACTAGAAGCCTCTACAGTTTGCATAACAYTGCAGATATATATGCCATGATAATAAATAAGCAAGTGTAATTACAGAATAAAAACTTGCCCCAAAGAGATACCCAGATGTGAATGGTGGAGCACAGTGCCAAACATAGAGCAACCAGAGGAGCAAGCTGGAAACAGCTCGGGTTTTTGCAAGAGGAGAGCAGGAAGCTTAAGCAACATGAAGAGGCCCCAAGGTCAAGCTGAAAGAAGTCAGGAAGCTAGAGAAGATAAGGAAAAATGGGAAGGAGATGGTTAGAGCTGCATGATAGTAAAGGCTCAAAGAATGGGCTTTTAAAAGTAAATGAGAAATTATAGTTTGGCTGAGAGGTAGTCATGGAAGAGGAGTTTGAAGTTTAACAGCCACAACTCTMCCATTGCACTGGTACAAGACCTTTGGCAAGTCACCTTTGCCTTCCCCTTATTTCTCTTCTTGCTTTGTGGGACTCAGCTCTTCAACTTGCAGATTCTTTGGAGTGAGACCGTCTTTGCTATGGGTATGTTGAGCGCCCACTGCAACCAAGCTCTGGATTCGTCTGGTGCCTTGCTAATGCCAGRGACAGCAAATGACACCTCCCAAAGGAAGATGAAAAGCTGTTGAACAGACTCAGACACCAGCAAGGCACRGCTGCAGACAGGAGGCCTACAGGCTCTGCTGTGGAGGCAAAGTGGAAGAGGAGATGGCAATAGTGGCCTGCAAAGACAGTAGTCTCTTTTTGGCATTGTGGTAAGAGGAAGAGTGATGAAGAGAAAGGAAGAAACGTTAAAACCGTGGGCAGAAGTGAACGGACAAATGATGTTTCAGTAGAAGAGGCAGGTGCTATTTTAGTCAAACGGGGCTAATTCTAGCTCTGATGTAACTCCACGTACGTCAGTTTTAGTCAGTTGAGTTGCACAAAGGATTCATTTAGGTCAGTGAGTTGAGGTGAGGGTGAGTCAGACAAAAACAAATTCTGAGGTGGGAGAAGAAGATGTGGAGCTAACACCTGATGAAAAACTGGACTTGGCTGGATGCTTGAGAAGGGAGCGTGAGGATGAAAGAGGGAGAAAAGGGGAAACAAAGAGAAACAGACCACCAGGCTGAGGCTTGCAGATGTACATGGACACTGCTGTGCTGAGAAGAAAAGGGTACCTGGTCTGAAGAAAAGAAAGGCAGCAGTAAAAGAGAAGAGGGCCCTGAAGGGATGTCAGACAATCTTTTTCACTCCAATCCACGGCAGTTCTCCAAGAAAGACAGTCTCCTCTGCAAACTCTGTAATGAAATGATTGTCTACCACTATTTTACTCCTCCTCATGATSCCCTTGGCCCTCCTCAGGACTGCTCACACACCCACATACCATGCTCACTGACAAGATCATAACAATTAAGGTTTGTGGGGGGTTTTGTGTGTGTGTGTTTAATAATAAAATGTTCTAGAAATAGCTTTTGGATCAGGGATTCACAGTGCAACAGAGGCAGCTACGTTCTGCAGGAAGAATTGATCTGATTCACTCCTGGTGCAGCTTCACTGGAGTCCATGGAAGTGAATTTGTCTCATTCATTCTCCAGAGATAACGTGCAAGCCAAATGAAACTAGACAGGGCCATTCTCAGGCTGACAAAAGCATCGTGCTTTACCTCTCACCAGCCTTTCCATGAAACACACGGGAAAAATATCCCAAATACCTGCCACTATCTTTTTTAAGGTTTGCCAAGTGGTGTCTCTCTCAGCAAAGCATAGGAAATAGAACAGTGATGCCATTACACTTAATTAAATGAAAACAAAAAATAATTAAACAAATCTCTTGGTTCCTTTTCATCCCACTCTCTTTTTCTTTCCCTGCATATGCTTTCCATCAATTGTTTCTGATGCCTCTTTTAAATTGGTGTTTACTTTCTCATAATTCCATGTACAGAGATAATTTAATGACATGAAGCCTGGAGGTTTCTTCTCTTTCTCCTGTCCTCATTCCACCTGGCTTTTCTTTTCCAATTCAGTTTTTGCATTTTTGTTATTTGAAATCATGATCTTTAATTGCATTTTATTTTCATTCCTTTTCTTTCCTCTACAGCTTGGATGTGTTTTCATTCCTCTATTCTCTTCTCCCTTGCTCTGCATCAGCTTTATTTCAGATAATAAAATCAAGCTTACATCATGTGTGTTTAAACATTATCTTTAACCATTTCCCRGCACCTAGCCCAAACCCAGCTTTGCGCCTTCCACCAACACTTGGTGCTGCACAAGAACTGAACACTCCCTAAGCCCTCTCTTCTGATGTTCAGTCATCATCATAAATACAAACTCTCTCCTACAACACTCAATCATTATATTTAGTCTTAATATCGTGCTTTTCATCTGTAAACACCCCCACAAGCATTGGTTAATTTGTCCTCACAACAGCCCTGCAAGGTGGGTAATTACGTGTTATTATCTCCATTTTACACATAAGGAAACTCCGGGAGAAATTATGGAACTCTTAACAGGCACGTATACCCACACATTTCAACAGGGAGTAGCTACAGCTTCTACGAATGCACAMCACACACAGTAGTCCAGCTGCACACTAGTCTACACGGAGAATAAGGGACTAACAAGTTCCCTGTAGGGTGCAAGACACACTTGATACGTTATTTCCACAAAAAGAGAAGCTTCTCAGAACATGATCTCAGCCTGGACAGCAGAAAAAAGGAGCAGGAAGGAAACACAGAGCTCTCTGCAGCCCTCTGCATCCCACTCGGTTGTTTCTGGGCGGCATTTGATAACTTCTCTTTCCTGCRGATGAGCAAATGTGCAAGATGAACTCCTCACTGCTCCATGTGCTTTTCCTCAGAGAAGCACTGAGGCTTGGGTTGGTATTCGCAGTCTCACCACTGCTGACTGCCCTCTTGTTATCAACACTCCTTTCAGACAAAAAGCTGGGAAAACCCAGCCGTGCACAACCCCCAAGTCAGCTCTTGACCTATTTGAATGCTAATTACCTTGCAGTGCTCTATTTGACTCCTTCTGCTGCCTATCAAGATGTCAYGATGAGAAGATAATAGACCTTCCAACCGCAGGCAGCCCCCCCAAAACCAAAAAAATGTGGGAGAAATGTCAGTGGTAAAGCCAGGAGAACTAAAATGGAGATGGAGGCAATTGGCTCTGTCCGGGATGACAGCATCTGTGCTGAGTATCCTGCATGCAGCAACTCCCCTCTGCCGCAGAGACGGGATGTGTCCACTGCGGATCCCACACCTTCCTCCAGGCAAAAAAGGCTCCGAGGCCTCTGCAATTTTGGGGCAGCCCATTTTGGAGGTTCATATGCTTAAGTATATTTAGACATTCAAYTGCCACTTAGGCAAGGCAGCTGCACTGCAATTAATGGGCATGGCATGCCCTTGATATCATGACATTCTGCTTGTAAATAWAGACCTCCTTAAGGGGCCGGAGCTTTGTGACTCCCTGTTTGGTCCTCTATTCCGTGTGACACTGAGGCTGTCATGGACTTGGCGGTCATGATGTGATGAAAACCACCCTCTCCTCTCTTTTCCAGCCCTGGAACTGTTGGAACTGCCTGTTTTATTTCCTGAACCTCTCACAGCCTCTATGAGGTAGGCAGGTCCAGGCAAAAGTTTTCGGTGTTGCCTTCCTTGCACTGACCCCTTGCATTTTAGAGGGACTGGGGACAAGGCCATAGGATGCAGCTCTGCAGTTCAATATATATCGCTCGTTCCATGAAAGCTTATACAAAGCTCTATGTCTTCTCTGTTAAGTCTGTCTCATTGCTCAAATTTCCYTCATTCCAGATTCTTAAAATCCTTTACTGTTTCTAGCTTTTCTAGTCCCTGGTGTATTCTCTTTTCCCTATCAGTCTTCTGCACTTCACAATTTCTGCTTGAGAACAATTGCGGTCTTTTTTCTTTCCCTCCCTAGTTGGCATATGTTACTATTTTATTTCTAATTGCYGCTTGATCTCTGCCATGGAGCCAGCTCAGGCTGCTTCCTAAAATACAGACCTGGATGCCAAGGCTGAAACTTGAGCGAGTCCTGCCAAACCTGCAGACTCTGCCTCCCCAAAGCACAGCAGGTCACCCAGTTTCATCCCTTATCAACTCCAACCCATCATTCCCATCATGGTGGCAACCCATATTTTGTGATGAGTCCGTGGCATGAGCATCTATGAATTGTAAAGATGGGTAGGAASGACAGCCTGTCTTACAGTGTACAGGCTGGCAAGGTGAGGCAAAGAGCTTGAGCCAGGGAAAACTTTCTTCCTTGTGCTCTTCCTGTCAGCCTGCTGGTACCCATCTCCATCGCTTGTGGAAAGCTGCAAGAGCTTCCAGACGTGGTCATAGTGCCAGCACTAAGGACTCCTAGTGACGATTTAGCGTTCCCTGAACAAATAATGGTGATCGCAGGTAGAGGGGGTTGGACTATATGATCTCTARAGGTCCCGTCCAACCTCAACCATCTGTGATTCTGTCATTCTGTGAAATGGAAATCAAATGGACACTCGGTTGAGGGGGAAGGTGATAGGGATGGCAAAGTTTAGGAACATTGCAAAATTAATTTCAGGATCATAATGAGGCATTTGACCTGTAGMTGAGAAGCTGTGATGATGAAGGTGAAAGCTTCCAGCTAATGAGGGACGGCAGTGGTGAGAAGCAAATAGGAGGCTGATGTGATTGCAGTGCTGAGCCAGGCAAGCCCTGCCTATACTAGCATCACACATCCTATTAGAGAGCTCTGCACCCASGCTCTAAGTAACAGGATGCTCAACATAAATTTGAATTTTGCATGAACAAATGAGAGTTGCATTAAAAATGGGTTAGTCAGCCTTGGTTAATGCTTTTTGAACACAGTATGTGTGTTGTGCATGCTGGTCTCCAGCATTCTTCAGCATGGTGCTCCTCTGAATGTCAGCTCTTCTCTACATGAGGTAGTTGCTGATGGTTTTTTTTTTACCGACAGAAATGTTCTTCATTGACTCCTCTGTGTGGTCTCTTCCTCTGCGCCAGACAGGCCTCTACCAAATGGAGTGACCTCCACTTCCACCGAGTGGACTGCATGGATCCRTGCAGGATGCTTCGCTTGGCCACTTACTGCGAAAGAGTCACGCTACAGTCACCAGCTGGGGTTATTTACCAAGATGAACTAGYCCCAGGTTAACAGAGTGCTCTTCCAAAATGACACATTCTCCTTGTGCAGAGGTGGTGGGAAAGAGCCTTTGCAGCAGTTTTTGAGTAAGYGGGAGGCTGAGAAAGTAAGGAGGGTAGAAACAATAAAGCATAATATGAAGAGCGAGTGGAGAAGAGCTTTGGAGCTGTGGTCAGCTTTGTCTGAGTCATGAGAAAGAAAACCATGAGGCTTTGACCGTATTAGACAGTCTTGCCCAGGTAAGTATAAAGATTCTTTAAATAGATGRAAGATAATTATAATTTCAAAGAGGAGTAAATCACTACCCACACCCTTTGCCTTTACTACATGAAGATCTTATCAAATTAAATTATGATCTCTTTCTGCAATAATGAGGCAGAACCTCAGCTGGTGAAAAGCAGAATAGCTCCATGGATTTAAAATGTGCAACAGTGACTTACTCAGGCAAAGCACAATCCCACCACCTGCTCGGATACCTTCTCAAGTGCYCCTCTATTCCCAGAGTCAGGCTCACATCTGCGTGTGCCACAGCCAGCCTGCTGCTCACAGGCAACTCCCTCTAGGCAGGGGGAAACCAATGCTTGAAAAAAAATAGGCCTCATATTTAAATGTTTATTGTAGGGACAAATGCTTATTGTAAGGACAATAAAAAACACCAATCTTTCATTAGGAAATGGTATCTCACCTCATAGTGGTGGGCCTTCAATTCCCTGATGGAGCCAAAGGCTTCAGAAGATGKAAGGGATGGTCAGGAGTATGTTCTCCAGCTTTGCATGACCCCAATCTGAGTATTTCATCCAGCAATTCCTATATCCAGCCCCCTTGCTGTTGGCTGCCCTGAAAAGCCTCGTTTAAAAGGCCAGCTGGTCTTCAGCTGCAGCCTGCGTTGATGGAGAACCACTGCAAGCTCCCTATGGCTTTTCAGTRGTTGTGTACCTTCACTTTTAAGTATGAGTGCTTTATTTTTAGCCTGAATTTGTTCAGAGTCAGTGCAAACAGCCCATGGGAGTGTCTTGAAGCTTTCCTTCTTATTTTTGGAGTCCTAAATTTGGGATGTTTATGACTGGTGCTCCAGCACGCTTTCTGCTATGTAAGTGCTTACGATATGCCTGTGCCCTTAAAGTTATGCACATATTAAATGAGAATATGAAGCTATCATTTAGGTCAGCTGATGCTGAAGATTTTAACTTGTAAGCCCTGTTGTGCTCTCCAACCTGATAAACACGACTGAAAGCTGCACCCCACCCAGAGAGGGACTCGTCAGCACCAAGTGGCACTAATTTAGCTATTTCACAGGGCAGCAAGGTGTCTCTCACTATTTGTGTGTGTGTGTGCGTTGAAAACTTTTGTGCATGTTCTATTCCCCCTGGAGGTAACTTTGATAATAGCTTGAATGATGGAGTGTTTTGCTAGTGTGAACATGTTAGGAATTATTTTTCCTGCTCTAATTTACAGTCTAAGACACAACAAGCTCTCACAGCTTTGCCCTTTTGATGAAGGCCTTTTACAAGAGCTCCCACAGAGGAGATGGAGGACACAGTATTTGCAGCAGCTCTAAGATCTTCCCCACTTCCCCTTCTCCCCAAACACACTTTCAGGAAAGGATTCCCTGTACACGCACAAGCACTTTGGCAACCTCAGAGCCAAGGAGGTTTGCATTTTGCTGAGTCTGCAGCGCAGGATGAGGTGATCTAACAGCTCCCGCTGCCSGGAGAGGGAGGCTGCCTTCCCCATCCCCTTCCCCTCCGGGCTGTGCATTCCCACTGCTTCACTGGGCCGGCCCTGGCGCAYGTTGCGCTGCCTTGGAGAGCTGACTCACCTCCTTAGCCCCATGAAAAGAGAAAGGAGGGGGGTAGTTGACTCACCTGCTCTTAGGAAATCGCAGGCACTGTTGCTGTCCGTCCATCTGCACCTGATAACAGCCCAGCAGCTGCCAGCACAAGGGCGAGCTCTGATATGGGGAGAGGCAGCGACAGAGAGCTGCTTTCCTGCGCCGCACATCCCTCGGGTTTGCACCGCTGCCAAGTGAGATTGCAAAGCTGCTCGGGCAGGAGGAGCCGTGGGTGATGCACACGCATACAGCCCTGATGGAAAAGGGTCTAGGTGAGGCAGGGTCAAGGGCATTTTCTCAGCTCCTTGGTGCTGGTAATTCCCCCTTTTCTTCCTCTCTGCAGTTTTGATGGGGAAAAAAAAGTAAAAAAAAAAAATAGCTAATACAGACTTGTTGTAACGCACCATAAAGGTTAGTGCAGACCTGCTGTAACGCACCATTTTGCAGCACTGTTTTTGGTATGCCGCACCTGCCAGTGAATATTTGGTCACGAGCAGGGTCACCATGGTCTGGTTGCCTGTGCTTGTCTTTACCTGGTGCTGCAGTAGCGGTGAGAGACACCAGCCGTATCACAGGGAAGTGACGGTCCGAGCCAGACACTCAATACAAGACAGGCTTTGAGAATGACCTCCAAATCAGTAGACGAGTTGCCTCTTACATAGATATTATTTTCATTTCTTTATATTGTGCTGGATATCACTGTAAGGTTTTCTAGAAGAGCCTCTTAAGGAATTGAACTTCAGCCATGGCTTCAGGACATTGCCATTATTTTATGGCTTTAAGTGCACAGTAATAGACTCCCATCCCAAAGTGCATTTGCTCTTATTTTCACTTGTGAACAAAACAAAAAGGCACCTCTCATAAATCTAGTGGAAAACGAGAGAGCAGGGAGAGGCTGCAGGACAGCTGGAGATCATTTGTTTGCTGCTGCTGCTTCCCTTTGCTGCCGGGCTCCCTTCATCTTTGCATGTGGGCACGGATTGCTGTACGCCTGCCATTTGWGAGATGCTGCACCTTCACGCTAGCAGGCTGGACGTGCACCGAGCAGCTCGCACAGTGACAGCACGATGTGCTTCGGATTTCCCCTCTGCATGAAGGTCAGCGACCTCTTCCTACTCACTTCCCCGTTTCCCCGCTGGCCTGTAGCTCACAGATAAGTCCGCTGCTGCTTTCCACTGACAAGTCTGCTTATGTAAGAAACTTCTTCGTCATTTCGTGCAGATCAAGGCTCCACAAGCCTGTCACATAGAGCTGCCTCTAAAAACTGGAGAAATTGGCGATGTTCTGCCCTCTTCCTGAGAGCCATTAAAGCCTTTATCGCACACACACTCACTTCATGCTTCCCTGCCAAAACACAAACCTTTCAGCAGTGAGGACTGCCTGGGTGTTGGAAGCTCTTTAGTCAATACGTGTGTTTTAACCAGTAAATGTTAGTGCCTGGATGAGCTGGGAATGCTCATGGTTTCAGCTGATCTCTATAGGGTTCCAGTAAAAAACAGCTGAGCCAACTGCTCTGAAACTGGGTGTCTGCTGAGGACTTTCTTTCGTCAGAGCAGTGGCAGAGGTGGCCAAAGGGCGAATGGGGACAGCAGTGGAGTTGAGCTGCAGCTGTGGAGAGATGTGAGCAGCTTCTTGACCATACAGGGATGGGCAACAGYCCCAGGCAGCCCTGGAAGGAGCAGTGTTGCCAAATGGTCCTCACGCCTGGTCTGGTGCAACACGGGCTCCTTGCRGTGAACAGCAAAGTGGTGCAAGAGTGTGAGCACAGCCCTAACCCAGGTGGCCACCTCTGTCTCACTAGGTTTCCTTGCTGTCCTTATGAAGCGATGTTGATATAATTAAAGAGCTGCCACTTCCCCCTRGGGCGTGGAGCTCACCCCTCAGCTCATCTCTGGGCTGACGCTGCCAGGGCTTTGCTCCTGCACTGCAAGCTGCCCCATACTGGCACTGTGTTGCTGTTCAAGGCTCGCTTCTCTTGGCCACATCATCCTGGATGCTGGACCTGCTGCTTCTGCCACCCTTGGTTGCACTCCACAAGGACCAGGGGAAAAATGACTTCCCAAGATCCTGCGTTATCAAGATCCTTTTGTGGAGGAAGACTGAGAGCTGCTGCTGAACAGAAAGAAGTGACAAAGAGGTGTCCGTTGTGGAAGGCTGCACACTGCAATACAGAACTACTTTCCATTAAAAACAAAAAGAAGATTCAGCAACAAAACCCCAGGAACTTCTTGTGTTAATGGCTTTGTGTCCCTCTTGCAGAGGGACGGATGGCAGCCTGAGCAGCGCTTGTTCCCGTGGCTTCTGCTCCACGCTGCAGTGAGCGCAGCCATGGTGCTAACCGTGTGCCAAGCCAGCAACAGCTCCATGCCGTAACAGTGAAATCTGTGTGGACAGCTTTTGCATGGAAAATTTCCATTTACTGGTTATTTTTGCTCAACCTTATTAATCATGGAGACATTTATGAACAAAATACAGTTCTGCAGAAGTTGTAGGTGAAAAGTTCATTCAGAGAGGAGAAAGATCAGCTCAGCTGTGCTCATTAAGCTTTTATTCTTCCCTGGGCAGGCCAGCTTCTTCTGTTTCATTTTCTACAGCTATGTTTGTCTTCCCATGTACCTCCATGTACTTCCCATGGACCTCCAGAGAARGAGACTCCACAACCTCCCTGGGCAGCCTGTGCCAGGGCTCTGGCACCCTCACAGTGAAGAAGTTCCTCCTGATATGGAGATGSAACTGCCTGCGTTTCAACTTATACCCATTGCCCCTTGTCCTRTCACTGGCCACCACTGAGAAGAGCTTGGCCCCTTCCTCCCTGCATTCCCCCTTCATGAACTTATACATGTTAATCAGTTCCCCTCTCAGCCTTCTCTTCTCCAAGCTAAACAGGCCCAACTCACTCAGTCTCTCCTCTCCTCCTTCAGTCTCACCAACCAAAGCCCGACTGGCTCCACCAGGCAGTGTAGAACACGGCACTGGTCTCTTTATCACAGATGCCATGATACTTTTGGAGCCTTATAAATTTGGGGCCATTACAGGTGCTGCCTGTAATGGGATATGAAGATTTTTACTGTGGCCCTGCTGCGTTGTCCATAATTAGCGAGTCATATAGAGCTAACCAACTTAAGTATTAATTCCTTAGAGGTCTACTGAAAAATCATGTGGAAACTTACCACTTCTCAAAAGAACCACTGCTTAACATGGGGGTAATTACAATGTACTAGTTAGACTTGCTTAATTAGTTTATCTCTGTAAGGGGCTTCAAATGTCTGAAGAGCTATTGAAGTGCTAAGTGCATTATCCTCAATTAATTTTGTGCAACTACATCCCCACTACCAAGAGGGTCTTTAGAGCACTGAGGACAGGAAAAAGAGGCATTGGTTCCAATTTTAAAAGTAACTCTTATAAAAAAAAAAAAAAAAAAAAAGAAGAAAATTAAACTAAAGATGATTTGAAGCAGTTTGGATAAGAATGAATGTACCATTTCTTCTGTTTCACTCTGATATAGAAGGCTCCCAAGTTCATGTTCAGACCTGAACATAAAAAGCCACCATTCATGTTACTTTGCTTTCATGGGGGTCTGTATTTTTAATTTGTTTTCATCTTCCCCCAGTCTTGGTCCTCTCTTCTCCTTGAATATTAAACTGCTCTCTTCCAAATTTGGCATTGCCGAGAACCCTCCTCACACCAAAAGTAGGATGCAACAAAACAAAACATTCTTCACAAAACAGTTGAGTTGGAAGGGACCTCTGGTGACTCTGGAGATCTTCWAATCCAACCCCTCTGCTCAAGCAAAGCTACAGCACATTGCCCAGGATTGTGTTCAGACATCTTCTGAGTATCTCCAAGGAAGGAGACTCCACAACCTCTCTTGTGAATATATGCTGGCTACTGCTGATTACTTTCTTATCCTTCACATGATTAGAGATGGCATCCAAGATGAGCTCTTCCATCATTCTTGAGGCTGAGTGTCCTGCAGTTTCCTAGGTCTTCCTTCTTGCCTTTTTTTTGGGGGACTAGAGTGACATTGACTTTCTTCCAATCCTCAGGCACCTCTCCTGTTCCTCACCGTCCTTTCAGAGATGATGGAAGGTGGCCTAGCAATGATGTCTGCAGCTCCTGCAGTACTCTTTGGTGCATCCCAGCAGGGCCAAGAGCCTTGTGATGTCCAGTGTGCCTAGAAGATCTCTAACCTGATCCACCTCAACCAAGGGAAAGTCTTCTTGTCTCTAGGCTTTCTCTGTAGACTCTAAGGTCTGAGGTTTCTGAGGGCTGGTCTCAGCAGTAAAGACTGAATCAAAGAAGGCATTCAGTAACGGGCCCCCCAAACCCATTCAGTAATGGACCCATATTTCCTTCCTCTTGTTACTGATGTATTTAAAGAAGCCAGTCCTTCCTAGCTGTCCTTGACATCCCTTGCCAGATTCAATTCCAAAGGGGCCTTGGCCTTCCTTGTCACATCCCTTCATACTTGGATGACATTCCTAAAATGCTCCCAAGTGGCTTGTCCCTGCTTCCATCTTCTGTGAACTTCYGTCTTCTGTTTCAGTTTTGCCAGGAGCTCCTTTTCATCCATGCTGATCTCCTGCYCCCTTTACTCAACTTCTTGGACACACCACTCTTGATCTTGGAGGAAGTGATCCTTGAATACTGACCAGCTCTACTGGACCTCTCACCCTGGAGGGCCCTAACCCATGGGATCCTTCCAAGAAGGCCTCTAAAGAGGCCACAGTTTTCTCTCCTTAAGTCCAGTAAATCTCTCATTCATCTCCTGGAATACTGTGGAGCCTGCTTACCTCCTCCCTCCTGCACAACTCCTGTGCTTGGCAAYGCAGCTCATCAACAACAGCACATCTACAGTGCAGATGACTCAGCCCCAGCTTCACGGAGAGAGCCCAGGTCAGTGTGGGTGGAAGACTCCAGCATGGCAGATGCTGCAACTCAAACAGCGGCTGGCCAGTGCACTTGGTGGCATCATGGCCACATTCAGTGTATAATACCAGGACTGGAGAGGAGGGCCCCTTCTTTGCAGCCTTTTGCAGACACTGCTGCATCTATTCACTGCCTGTTAGCAGCACTCCAGGAGCTCCTCTCTAGGCCTGGCTCCTACATAGCTGCTACCTAGTACTAAGTAACATGGTGCTGACCCACACTAATCAGGTGTCTCCTGGAACAAAAGTCCAACTCCCTCTGATCAGGGGCAACTAACAGGGCCACTAGCAGCAGCTACACCAAGCCAGAGCCTCCAGAAGAAGTTAAGACCTCCTGTAGCTCTCCTTGCCTAGCTCCCTCGGTCTATCCCCAGCAAGCATCTTCTATTTCCTCAGAGGCTCCCTAGAAAGCCAACACAACACAAGGTTTTCAGAGGGTCTAAATAGAGCCCAGATGTTGCCGTGCAAAATGCTGCATCTGTTGGCTGCCTCTGTTAGCTGCGCTCTTCAAGCTGTGGTGGAGTCACTGAAGGTTACACTCCTACACCAACCCACTAAATAAGTTTGATCCAAAGGAAGGCCATGGATGTCACTCCACTTCAAAGGGAAGATGTTAAGACCCCACAATGGAGCACCTACAAGAGCACAAGTCCAGCCCTGCAAGTCATATGGTATCTACTCATTACCTGAACCTCCCTGGCAGTCAATGGAAATAAGTTTTTAACATATCTTTCGAAGTTTTCTATCCTATTTGACACATTCATGCCTTATTAATTATTCTCATTTTACTTCAGCCATTAATAATCCACTTTAGGTGGAGTCCTCTCAAATATTTGATAATGAGTCTTTTCTGCACGTACCATGTACCTGGCAGCCTTAATTGGGCTGGCTACATTGAATTAGATTGCCCCATGAGCCTATTTCCTATTTTTCTTTCTATACTGACTAACAAAAGAACATTTTTCTTGCTGAGTTTGATTTGTTTTTAGAGTTTTTTCACTCATCTTTTCTTTCTTTCCCAAGAATGATAATTCATCACTTCCTTACTGATCCCAAGGTCCCACATGTTGTGAAAAATTCAGGCAGCTTATTTAATATCAGATTGCATGAGCAGTGTTTTTGCAGCAGCATTTCTCTTTCTCAGGGTTTGGATCATTTTTAATGTGCATTTGCAATACATATGTATCACCTCTTGGTACTCACTCAATAATGATTGGAAAACCTATCCATCTGCCTTATTTCACCCCTCAGAAACGGGAACAGAGAAGAGACTATTTAATGTCCACAACTTTATTCTCTGCATACTGTAAAGTAATAGATCAGCCTGCTGGATAAGGCACTCCACCTGCAAGTCAGAGCTGTGTGTACAGTGATCCTAGCACTGCACATTCTCAGGGAAAGAAATTCTGGCATCAAACCAGACAAAAGAAAACAAAAGAAACCCCCCAAAACTTTTCTTCCTCACCTTTCCCCAGTTGAATTTTACAAAAGGAGGGATATCCACTGTTATCCCATCAAGTGGATATTCATTTAGCTCAGCCTGACTTGCTGTAAGTAGGATGTCTAACAGGAAATATAGCTCCCTTGGAAAGCAGCTTGAAAATGGGAGAAGTTGTTACAGACTGTAGGGCTACTAGAAGAAGCAAAGAAATGACTTTCTCCCTCTTCTATATCTTGATCACTAGGCTGTTTGTACAAAAGCTCRTAGGATCTTATCCTTTCATCAGGTATACTCACACGGTCGAGAACAACAGAATATACTAGAATGCAGAAAATACTTAGAAAAACTAAGGTTGTCTTGAACCTCATCCTAAGGTCCCCTCCTTTTCCCTTCCCTAATACCTGAAGGATTACCAACCCTCATTTGATTAACCTATGTGTTTTTCCTGCCTCTGTGCATTGAGGGAAAAGGTGAAAGAAACATGACATGGAGTCCAAAGGGGCTGTGTGTGCTACCGGATCCAGAAGATAGAGGTGGGGCTGCCTAAATATAGAAGCCTAACCTGCATTTCCACAGGACAAACCTAATTGCAGTAACTTATCAATACTTAGCCAAGGAATGACAGGGAAGGGAGGATCCAGCAAAGTCCCAATGAACAATCCAGGATTCTTGCTCTTTCCCCTATCATGAAAGTAAAGCACAAGGAATAAAACTCTACCTTCTTCCACAGGTTCCTTTTCATACCAATGCTTCAAAAGATCAATTGCCAATAAATTAAGACAATAACAAAAACATTGTATGTCCCAGGGACAAGGGAAGATGTGCTCCGACTCTGTCCCTGTCACATCAGAGCAGCTCCAGAACGGCCCTTTGGGGCACTCTGTGCCCTCAGAGGTGCATTGGTGCGACGTAGTTGGAAGGGAAGAGACCCAATTCTCCACGCAGGCGTCCCTTCCACCAGGATGGGTTGGAGTTGTCCAGGACCTCTAAGATGTCTCCAGTGCGGAAACCCAGCTCGTCATGCTCCACAGCATCAAAGTCGTACAAGGCACGGACCCAGAGCGTTCGCTGGGGAGGAGACAGAGACAGGCAGCAGTGAGGCACAGTTCTCAAAGGTCACCCTCCTGTGGGCCCTTGTACACCCCACGACACATCAAGACAAACAACACTGCAACTGAGACCAACTTGTAATTAAATAAGGAAGTGGCCAGGGCTACAGGAAGGAGGGACTGATCTGCTAGGAAACCACGGGGATGGTACTCGGGTTCTCAACAGCCCTTTGAACCTTTCTTGTTAAATAAGGTCAAAACGCCTTAGGAACTGACTGGCTGTCAGATATTCTGAGTTTGCAGTTTATTGAGATTTATAATCAGAATGTTTTGTTATGAAAGCTTCATCCTAAGAGATTTTGCATTCAGTTTCCCATTTCGACTGAAAATCAGCTATTAAAGAATTTAATGTGGACTTCTTTACTGGGAAATTTTTGGCACGCCTATCATGGATAATTTGGCAGGTGTATTTTTAAGGTCCTGTTGGAAAGATTTTGTTTGATCCCTGCTTACCTTCACCAAATCTTGCATTCAGGGCGTACTGAGACATAGTTCTTGGTTATTTGGTTGGTTTCAAATGATTTTAAAGACACACAGACATGTCTATAATGGCACTTGGAGGCTTCTTGATCACTGCCTGGGTGTGGCAGGTAAGGACATGTTCTTACCTGTTGCCTCAGCCTCTGAGGGATACACAACATGATACTTTGAGCTGGATTATAATAAAGAGACTGGATTCCTGCCTCCACAGAGCTCATGCTGAGGCCCCTCTTGCATGTAGTATGTCTGCATGTTGACTGAGACTGGTTTGGAGACCAGTCTTAGACCTACATTCATATAACAATGTATGTTATTTGTCTTCATAGTTCTCAAATTCCAGTGGCTGGGATGGAGTCTTGGGATATAGCAACATCTTTGTAGCTGGAAGATGACCACATTACAACAGGTGTAATATACTATCCCTCCTGCAATCTCTGTGCAGGTGACATTGCCCAGACTGCTTAGCCATTGCTAGGGATCCAGTGAGATCTGCAGATGGGACCATCCAGGTACATCACACATCACTTACTGGTGCTGGCTGGTGCAATGGGTCTGTGTGTCTCCGCTGCACAGCTGCTGCCCTTCCTGTGTTATAATCTGTATGTCCATGCAGCCCATCTTTCCTGTCCAGGCTCCCACCATATCTATCCTAGAAAGACAACAACAAGAGAAAAGTCACGAACACACTCAGCTGCAGAAATGAGGGGCTTTAAGAGTCATTGATGCCCAGGGAAACAGGGTTCAGGCCCTATGTAAGTCATCTTGGATATCTGCTTCCAATATATTTCCTGCACTGCAATCCTGTAAGCAATGGTCCTTAGTGAAGATATCTTCCACTGTTCTGTTTTGGATTTTCTGTCTTAGAAGTTGAAGACTGGCTGTTTCAAGTAATGTTTTCAGCTGTATTTCACATCTGCTGGGAAATGGAGTAAGAGAGTGGCTGGTTTGGCCTCTGGCATGTTTGGAGAAAAGCTAAGCCTGTTTAAGTTTAGAAAAGCTAATCCTCACCTTTACTCTGCCCCATGTGCTAGTTCTGCAGAGGGAATGGCTTTGCATATTACCTGAAGGCCCACTGCTGGTATATGAATTACCACTTCAGGTAATTCCACTGAAGGAAGGAATGAATTACCACGTCAGGTAATTCATTTATTCAAATACCTGATGGTCGAAGTAGGTCTGAGACTCACTGTATTTTTAGTGTGGGCTGCCCCACACTCTAAAAGGCAGAGAGCTGGCCTGATAGCCCAGCAGCCCTGTTAACTGAAGAAAAGGGAAAAGCAGATTCAAAGGAAAGGAGCCGTATGAGTATGCATCTAAGYTATACCAAAACAAATCAACCCAGACAAATGGAGAGGGGAACTAGTCCCATACATTTAGAGAACAAGTCCTCTTTTGCCTGAACAACCAACAAGTGCTGAGTGTTTTTGTCCCTCCAGGCCTGTACATTCATTGAGCTCTTTTTTACGGTAATGGCTCAACAGAATTTGTCACCATGTTAGCTCAGCTTACACCAGTCTTTCAGTGACACAGGGCCTGMTCAGATGTGTCTGTGGAGAGGAGGAACAACCGCTTTTCCTTGCTGTAAGCAGCTGTCGTTACCTCCCTCTCCCGCTTCCTTTAATGCACCTACTCTTCTACATGTTCCTTGGTCTCACTTGCATCTTTGTTAGCCTAAGGTATCCCTAGGACTGGTCACAATTTGCCCAGCCCTGCCTAAAAGCCAGTGAGTGAATTCAATGTGGCTTTGCAGCTGCAAGGCTTACTGCACAGATACTTCACTCCTGTGAGTGTTCCTGCTCTGTACCAAATGTGACTCCTGCACAGTGTGCACTACAAAATGTGCAGGCCCTTAGCCTTGTCTGAAGTTGTTACTCCTCCAGCAGTGGCAGGTGTTGACAGGCAACACTGTTCCTTGTCTGGTGGGAAGCAGAGCAGCCATTTTGTGATGGCCCTGGCCTTGTTACATGGAAGTTCTCATAGTTTATGGGACATAGTTTTAGATCTCTTCAGCAGAACACGTTCTCTCCTTGGATGATACTTAYACTAGCTAGAGACATAAGCCAATCCTAGGCAAACAATTTTCCACCCAAACCTGGAAGCACTTTACAGACCACACTAGCAACTGCAAGGAGGAGGAAGATGAATGTTCTGGAGGAAGTCAAACCCTTTCAGGGTTAACATAGTGATTTCTCTTATGTGTTTTGTGAGGCTGGATGCCAGTAATAGCAAAAAAATGGGCAGCAAGATTTCCCTTGTGCTGCAGACTTGGGAGGACTAAAGCTGTATGTGTGTGTGTAAGATCTACAGGTATTTTTCTGCACTCCCTCTGGATGTTACTTTTCATCCTTTGCCAAGCAATATAAGAACATGATACTTCTTGTTTTCCAGTTTTTGGGGTGGAGCTCCATTCTCCCAGGTTCCCAGTGAAAGGGCTGCTGTATGTTAAATTCTGATTTTTGTTGGTCTGTCTACCAACTAAATAACAGGTCACATATTTATTTCATAACAAAGAGCTCCCAAGGCTGACACCATCATTACTGCTATATCCCATGTGAAGACCTGACTGATTTTGCCTCCTGCAGCAGATTCAGGGCGATGGACTTTGACAGGGTGACTATCCACCATCAAGCCACCAAGGCTTGTTATGTATTCTTAGGTTTGATCTCCCAGCCCCTCTTTCCTGGTAATACCTGTTGCTGGTGCGATACGGGGACAGAATGCTCTACGTATCTCTTGGATGTAGAATGATGAACATCTCCAGCTGCTCCACCCAGGTGGAGTCCTTCCCGGCCCATCCGTTCCAGGCTCCCACCATGCCTCTCCTGATGAAAGAAGATCAGAAAAGTGGGGTCAGATATTCCTTCCCAGCAACCTCCTTGATTAAAGCTTAACAATCATTGCTGACAGATCGCAATCACTGCTGTTTATCTCGGASGCTCTTCCAAAAGGAGGCTCCTACATGCACAGAAGCATGAATAAGGAGTCCAATAACTTAGATCTCTGCCATAGCCATTCCTCATTTGAAGACTGGGCAGTGATGGGGTATACTGGTTAAAAAATGTCACCACTGATTTGAGGACTAGCATAGCAAAAGCTCTTTTTGGAAATACTACCCTCAGACTTCATTTGTCTCTGCACTGAGATCTGAGATCCTGTCATTTTATCATATGGCTGTGACATCCAGAAATTCTAACTGTGAACTGAAACCCCACTGTGATGAGTGCTAAACATACCCTGCTGAGCCCATCACCATAACAAATGTACAGAGCGTTTGCCAAAGCAAGCTTGACTCCTGTTCTTTCATTTCCCTGTCTACATCTCGAAGCAAATGCTCTTCTCTTYCCTTTTTGCTTTCCTGCTTGCAGTCAGCCCAAGCAGGTTATATTACTAATACACACACATATATTTCCTTCCTTTCTCTTATTTGCTGTGGTCTTTCTCTTATAAGTCTCATAATCTCTATTTTATATCTTAATAATGCATTTTAAAGCAGTACTTGAAGAAGAAGACAACAACATGTGCCTCACTTTCACTGTAAAATAAATCCTTCCTCTTTTGGAGCTGGCAAGAATGACCTACCTGTACCTATAAAACTTAACTGCTGCAGCGGGCAAGTCATACTTTCAGCCTTACCTTTACTTGTATATCCTGGTAATTTAATCTCAGAATCAGTTTCCTAGTAAAGCAGGACTTCAGTTGCTGGAGTGACCAGGCAAGTTCACTCCCAGCATTGTGTATACAATGTAGAGCACTTTCTACTATGTCACTTGTTTGTTCTTCTGACACGAAACCAAGCTTTTATTGTATTGGTATTTCCCTGCCTTCTTAAACATTTGCTGCACCTTCCCTGAACACACAGCTTGTTCCCATATCTGCTGTGTTCTCCTCAGCAGAACTTTTCTGCCCCTACCAACCACTGTTCCAGGTCTTTCAGTTCCCCATACCCCTCGCTGTGTCAGGTAATTTTGCTGAGCAGGTATCCTTTCAAGTGTAACAGCAGCTGCAGTCAGAGCACATTTAGGGACACCAAGAAACCAGACTCAATCTTTTCTCAGACATAACCCACCAATAAGCTTTATACTTCCCCACTCCTTATTGCATCACCAGACCATATTTTCTTCCTGAGCCAAGAGCTTCTCAAATCTTCTTTACACCAGACATTTAATCAGGTAAGTTCTGCTTCCCTTTGCATCATAGAATTTTGWCTCTGGGGCCTCAACATAGATTGTAGGACTAAACTCCTTCTGTGGCAGGTTTTCTCACTGAGGAACTCCTAAGGATAGTTTGTTTGTACCTTCTCTCCTCGGCTGTCATCCCTCAGGAAGATCTGCTTCTGCCTGGAGATGGAGGTTGTCTTGTAGTAGTCCACCAGCTTGTCTAGTGACTGGAATTTCTCTGTCCACAAGTAGTAGTTACCTTTTGAATCCCTCATCACTTTGAAGTGCTGTACGTCATCTTCATGCCTGGATCCAATTGGAAAAGTAATAGGTCATCACTTGGACTGCAACTTTATCCTCTTTGGAAAGTCTTTTCCAAAAGAATGAGTTTTTCCAAATCTCATTGCTGATGCTTAGACAAATCTAGACTTCTAGCCTTGGAAAGGCTGGTACAAAGCAGGTACCTTCAAAGTAAGGTACAAAGGCAGCCCTTGTACCTACTAGAGCTGCTATAGTGCTGTAGCCACCATATGTGGCTCTGTGTTTGGAAGGACTCATCTATTTACAAACAAACTGCAGGACTGCCCAGTGACAAAGCATGATCAACACAAAGCACAGAGTTTTAGAGCTTCCCCTTTGAAAAAAAGGTCAGAGAAGCTTTCAAGTCCACAAAAGGCAGCAGCTTTATTTTGTACTTTGTAAGAAATACAGCAGTGCCCTCTTTGACAGCAGTGTTGCAGTCTCCCCACTAGTGCCTGTTAATACTTAGTTTGCATTGACTGTAAGAAATACACTGGCTCTTTTCACACCACATCCATCACAGCCACACACACATATTCACATGAAGCCAGACACTATATTTTATAATTGTACAATACCCAGCATAATATATGACTACAAACTTACCTCCTTACCCAAGAGAAATAAAAGAAGGTATTATGAGGCGCAATTACAAGCCAAAATTAACAGTCCCACTTCTGCTCTTGATTTCCCCCTTGCAGCTTCTCCCACGTCTTTGTCTCTCTTCTGATTTGAAGAATTCCACTTTGGCACTAAATGTGATCTGGTTTTGGTGTTAGCTCAGTTTTAATCTAAAACAACTATCCCTCTCCTGAACAATGCTGGGCAATGGTTAGGGGGACCATGTGGACTGAGAACCATTCCGATAGTTTAGCCATATGGATCTGACCTCTGTCAAGTTCCTTGTCCTCAGGGCTAGAAAATAGTGCCTGACTGTGCTTAGTTAGTGCTATTGATGTAGCCAAAGTCTCCAAGAATAAGAGGAGGTGGCTTGAGCAAGCCTCCGGATTTGGAAAGAGGGGGTCACAGTAGAACTTTCCTGTATTTCTCCCTAGTAATTTTAAGTTCCCTGAATGAGAAAGTGAACATTGCTTGGAAAACACATTGCTAATTAGTACTTTAAAATTATCCGGTGTTTGACTGAAATCAGGAAACCAACTGTCAATTAATAACTCTGCTTTGAAGCAAAGGCTCTAAGAAAGGTTCGATTACAATAAATGCCTGAAATACAGTTAGGCTGCTAGTGATTGAAAGCTATTCAATGGCTTCTTATTCACCTGGAGTGTAGGCTAAAAATGTAACAGTCATGTCTTTATGAGTAGCAGTGGAATTGTTGGATCTGGTAACTGCAGCTATCAGGCAAACAGAAGAAATAGAAAGCACATGCTTTGCACTGTGGGGGATGTCCCATGTACTACACTGGGCTTTGCTGCAGCTCTTTCAGGAAACAGGCCACCAGGGATGCAGCTTTGTCATGGGACATTCACTGTGTCACTTGAAAGAAAGCAAAAGCACTTGGGAATCAGATGCCTGCTTTGTTTTCATTTGCAACACTGCAGCTCTGCCAGTGACTGGCAGCATGCAAACCTCTTAAGAAGCAATGTCCCATTAGGATTCCTCTTTAGAAGAGGCTAGTGAGATCATTAACCAGGCAAAGGAGTAGGAAGATGCTGTAAGAAGCAGATACCTGACAGAGATGGAGAAGTCACCATGAGAGTTCTGACTAGCTCGGACGATAAAGGAACCAATTCCTTTGCTCATAAGGTTGTTCTCTGCTTCATGGCGGGATATTCTCTCATCAAACCAGCTGTCAAGTGGAAAAAAAATAAGGAGACTTGAATAAGGAGTTTAACTAAGATAGGGAATAGAAACGTTGAGGCAAGAGAGAATATGAATAAGCAGAGTGGAGGAAGGAAAGGTGGGACAGATCAGAGGATCCTATATAACTATTCCCACTGGCCACATACATAATAAGGTACAGTGTTATGATGGGTGCAGACCATTTTCTCTGAGCAGTAAAACCACATAGGTGCAAAGAGACCAGTGTAAACTTTGGCTTGTTAAGAAGCAAGACTCAGCTAGATATCTAATTACAGGCTTAATACAATGTTAAAGTAATTGCAGATTACAGAAATGTATGGATATACACACACAAACATCATTCTCAAACCACAATAACTTTTGGTAAAGTGATTGAAAATTGCTGGACTGTGATGGATATATTGCATGGAACAAACATAAATTTTTAATAGAAGCAAAGCATGAAAGTTTCAGTACTAACAAATTGACTCTTGCAAGAGTTATAATACCATAAAAATCGCAAAGCACAGAATATATAAGCACACTTATGTAAATTTAGCCAGATAAAACAAACTGCTGGTGCAAGAACTAGGCATATAATGAGAAAAGTCACCATAAATGGTAAAATAATACAGTGGCAATTGCAATTTGTAAGTAGAGGAAAAAAAATCATGTACGTGTTCACAGCTAATAAGCTCTGCGATGCTAGTCTGTATTCCATTAAAATTATGGACTTATAGTTTTGCAAGCTCTGCCACTTCCACTTTTGAGTCTCCTTATTCTTCTCCTTACCATCATTATAGTTTACCTATGTATCATCAGCAATCAGTGGGAAATTAGACCTTAATTAGCTTTGGTAACTGGTATGAATGACTACTTGACAAAATAGAAATGGGAAAAAATGGCCCATTAAAGACAGGGTACAACCTTTTCCCCTGCATCTGGCTCTAGCATCTGGCCTGAACTGCTTTAAACTGCTGACCTGCTACACAGAAAAGCAGCAAAGGGGAAAGGCTTCTCTCCGTCTCTTGCATAGGCAAAATATCAAGAGAAAAATGCATGTGAAAAAAAGAAGTTGCCAGTGTCCCTGTKTGATGCCACAGCCCTCTGAAAGAGCAAACAGTAACAGCTGACCAAGAGATCTCATCATCTTGAGGTCCAGAAGTACAAGCCTATCCAGGAGAGAAAACCAATAACGTCCTTCAGCTGAGCTAGCCAGGCTGGCTTATGTCCAAACAGGTCTGTAAGTGCCACCCCTAAAGCGGACAGTGGCACCTACCTGTGGACTACAAGGATCGCTGCATGCTTCCAGTTTGCCCGCTCAGGACACTAGTGTGGCCCAGCTTAGCAACGAAGTGAGCTTGGTGCATGTTCTGCCTGCTCTCTCCTGAAATGCTGTAGCACTTTTTCAAAAGAGAAGGATTAAAGGGGCTGTAAAACCAAGGAGGATTTCCACCAATGGAAAGAAAAAGGAGCTAAAAATCCCATGCTTGGGGTTATTTATTACATAGGGCTGGACAGCACATTTAACATGCACTTAAACTGATACTGGTCCCTACTGGAAGCAGGGTGCTCTCTACCCAGCAGGAGAAATGGGAGCATGCCTGTCCTCTGACAGGTCTATGTCGGGGTGCACAGCCATGAAGCTGGAAGACGGGTGAGGGGGCTGTGTGTGTGTGGGAGCAGAGTGACATGTCTGGTCTATCACCTCTGTCAATCCATGAGCAACAACAGATGTCCTGATCTCGCGTAGCATTGCACTGACCTCTAGTGTATAGTGAGAAACTCGCAGACGCTTTGTGAGGGGAGGGAATGTGGATGGCAGGGTGGGGAACACAGAGTTAATGTAATTAACATTAAGAGTTGGGGGCGGGGGAAACTACATTTTTATAATTCATTTTCAGAGAGATCTCTCGGTCTTCCTTTTTTTTTTTTTTTTTTTTTTTTTTTTTTTTCTCAGCCGCTGTCTCTGTTGCCAAGACTCCACATTATGACAATTCTCCTTCTGTCCACGAAGAGCTAAATGCAGTTTCTGCCATATCCCAGTGACATCCCTCTCAGCAACAGTAACAAAGGAGTCACTTGAGAGTGATATAGAGCATAGAGCACCATCCTGCTCTGAAAGAACAGAAGATGTTTCATGGTAGAAATAAGGTGTGCTGGCAGAACTGTATATAGTGCTACAGCAGTCTTTGCCAGCCCTTAATTGCCCTCCTCTGTCTTATTCTCCTAGGAACACACACACATGTCCTTGACAGYATTCCATGAAAACATGCAGGGGTGATGCATGCAGTTTTGCTGACACTTACGGGGGAACGTGAAAATCAATGAAGTTCTTAGGAACGTAGCCCTCCTGATTTCTCAGCTCAGCTTTGTACCACTCTTCCTGGGAGCTTAAAATCTGCAATGGAGAGATGGGAGGAATAAGTGCACCGAGAAATGCAAAAGCAACCAAGATACTGAGAGAAAAGTAGTATCTCTTGTGAACAGAAGAAAACTCCACATGATCTCTCCCACTCACCCACCTTGCAGCAGTGTAAGTGGCTGATGACCACTTCAGGGCAAACAAAGCTATGAGGAAAGCTGGGTGGAATTAGAGAGACTGCGTGTTAGCTTTATCTTCTCTTCTGAATGCTTGTGCAGGTGGCTGGGAACGCTGTCTGCATGTCTCTAATGTCTGTGAGATGGAAGAATTCAGCTCCGGAAGACTTAACAGAGGTTTAAGGAGCTCTCTGTGCTGCTTTTAATGGTTAACATTGCAGGATATCCATTTCAAAGGGGAGGTAAATGAATCTCTGAAAACTCCTCTGGCGTTTATGTGTATGAAGGGAATATACAGCTATACCTGCATGTGTGTGTCAGAATTCCACACAGGTTATCCTATGTCGCTTCCCAAGAGTGTATTCAGCAGGTTAAATCTGCAGCTGTCCTGATTTTTGTCAAAGAAGGCAAAAGCGGGAAGCAAAGAGTGTTTGAAAGCCACTGTTACACTTGCAAGATTGTAGGATAGCAGAGGTCAGTCCACAGAGCACACTGGAGCAGCTTCAAGGAGTGTTTCTATTAACGCTGACTGGAAAAGTTCTCAGGGACTGCAGTGCAGGCCACAGAGTGCCCAGATTCTCTGCTCGCTGGCTGATGGCCTGATACGTCCCTAAGCCAGAGYGAGAGGACAGGAATGCAGCCACATTGTTATTTTACTGCATATGTTGCAGTCCTTGGTGTTTGGTTTGACATTTCAGGTCCTGGGASAGAATTGCTTTTTCTAAAATAGAWCATGTTTCCGTTCATTCTGGTTTTGGAAAGGATCTTGAAAACACTAATCCTGACAGTTTTAAAGGGAAAAAGCAAGTGGAAAGGGCTTAATTTAAAAACTATTGTTAACAACAATAATACTTGTCTTATAAGCCAATCTCATGATTTGGGAGCTTAACACATGAATTCTAACCACTTGGTGTTGGTGATAGGATGTTCCTGTCTCTGGGGCTGATTCTCCATTGCCTTGCCTGCCACGTAGGCCTTTTTTTTGGTATGTAGACAGAGAAGAGTTGGGCAGAGGAAGGCTGTGGAGTTCCCAGTTCTCTTCTCCCCATCCCTGGATGCTGGATTGGGGCTCCCTTTTGCTCCTCTGGCTAACCAAAGGGGAGGACAGTCAGTGTGCTAGAGCTCCAGCCCTGCTGCACTTGCTGGTTCGTGGCACAGAGCGGGCAGCTTTCTGGGTATGTCACTCTCTCAGAGAAGGATGTGGGCGGGGAGAGAGGGTGGATTTCCTCCTGTCACTGCTGGCTGAGGGCCTCATGTTTCCTGTTTGCTAATCTCCACATCAATACTGCTCATCTTATCTCTTTCATAAATCAGAAAGACARCCAGCAGGCTGCGCAGGCAGCAGAAGGGGGCTCATAACAGGGTGTGCACACATGTGTGTATATCCCAGAAGAAGAGATGTTACTCAGGCTAATATATGTGTCTATGGCTTGGGCTGCTACAGTGTTACTTTGTTCACCTGAAGAATGCTAAAGCAAGAAACAGTCCAGCTTTTCCAGCAGTGAAGTCTCAGTGACAACTGAGAGTAATAATAATAACAATAATAGTAATATATGGCTGTTATTTTACACTTTTCAACAATAGTTTCCAAAGCACTTGGAAATAGATCTCTAACTTATAATACTAGAAGTTATGGGAAGATAAAGTGAGAAACAGAAGGAAAACTGACCTGGCCAATGCCATCAGCCCTGCAAGGGACTGAATGAAACTAGTGTCTTCTAAGTAAGCGGACATCAGATAAAGATCTGGGGACAGTGGGGACTTGGGGACTACTCTTGACTTAAGAAAGAACAGTAAATGAGGTATGGAGTGAAGTGCTCATCCATCCTAAGGAGAGGAACTGATTTCTCTGGAGCACTTCTAGCTCGCTGGACAGAACTTCTTTTTGTTCTTAACAAACTCTTGACGCCATAATAAATTCTCAGCTTTGCCTGAGGGAAGAGGCAAGGCTGAGAGCCAGCATTAACTGGAGCGACTGGGACTGGACAGGGAGAAACAAAAGGCTCCTGACACTGCGTATGTTTAGATCTTACTGTTGTTCACCATCCCCTTGGCCAGGGAAGGAGTTGCAGGCCCTAGAAAGGAGCTCCACTCAGTGCTTTCTGACCGAAAGAGAACAGCTCTCCTGTGGGCTGAGAAGTGGCTACYGTAGGGTGAAGCAGCACGTGTGAGACTTCACCTGTGAGAGTTCAGTGGGGTTAACAAGAACCGCTCAATAATAACACATGCAAAACAGCTTTAAGGAGGCTATCACATGCTCTATATTGTTTGATCAGCTGCACTTCTTCTGCCAGCCTCTACCATTTCTCCACTGCTGAATTCTTGCTGAAGTGGCACAGAGGATTATTAGCCCAGGTTCTCTTAATCTCTTCCATCACGGGTGTAACAGAAATGGTCTTACGGACATTTCCTCTTACCTTTGCAATTGCCTAAAACCCCTGTGGCAACCATAGGGTTCAGTGTAATTACACACACTGAAAAAAGTTAGATATAAGTTCTGTAAGGTATGATAACCATCTAACAATTTAAGAGATAGCAGTAAAGGAGATAGATAACAATCACTACAGCCTACAGTCATCCTACCTATCTTCAGATATAGTCACTCTAGACTACCTATATAGTCAATGAAAAAAGACAGGCACTTCAAAATCTGTCTGCCTGAGAACTAAATCTCTCCCCCAGCAAAGATGCTTATTCCTCCCTGCTGATTCCCAGAGGATTGTAGGGCAACTGTGTTCGCAGTCTAAGGGTTTAAATTAAAGTGGAGTGGACCTAGACTTGAGTGACCTGGGAGGTGTTACTTGATCAATAGCAGACTTTCTGGGAGATTTCTGTCTCATGTTTGTAACCCAGTTTACAGACATCTCAGTCAATTTGATTTATCAGTGCAAATGGCAGCACAGCAAGATCTGACTGAGCTCTCAAAGCTAATAACTGTCCTCTAGCCAAACCCGGGGCTGTGCTCAGGCCACACTTACCTTCAACATATCCCCAGCCTGGAAGCTCAGCTCATCCTCTCCCGAAGCACAGAAATCAAACTTGGCAATGGCTTCCATACTGTGTCTTTGTTGCAGAGCAAAGCTGGAAAAAAAGTGTAAGCTGTAAGTTTGTAAGCTGCTTGGACTACTAAGTCTAGGTTTTAGCAAACTTACAGGCAATGCTGTGATTTGTACTAGGGTGAGGGTGCACCAACCATTACTAGGCATTAGATGCTAGACACTGAAAAAGACATTAGCAGCTAGAATATATAGAATGGCCAAAAAGCTTAACTTGCTCAGGTTGGTAATTCAACCCATGAGCACCCATTCATGTGCTCATTCCAAAAGCTCTCCTTCTCCCTGTCAATCTCCTGGAAAGGTTTGCCCATTTCATCCCAATCAGCTGATAGCAGGGAAAACCTTCTAAGCGAACCAGGCCAATGAAAGCAGTGACTGCATGCATYTGCCCTCTTCAATGACTTACTCTTCATCCCAGTAGAAAGGCAGGCTGTGGACAAAAGGAAGAGCCTGCAATATATATAGTTTTTCTTGGACAGAAGCCACAGTACTGAAGGTTGAAAGAGACTTTTCTGTGTGATGGCTTAGCATGGGTAACCACAACTTTCAGCTACGCAAAGCTGTTCTGCAGAAAGGCTGTATTCTGTGCTTCAGAGCAGGCAGAGTGTGAAACTGYAGCCCTGACAAGTTTAAGGCATGCACATACCATACCTCAGTGTTCATAGCTCAGGAGCTTGAAATACAAACCAGACAGCCCTGCAAAGCCAAGSCTGCTTTTCATCAACAGAGCAGATGTGGCAGGGGAAGTGGCAACATGAGCTTCGCTTCTTCACCACTTCCTGCTCACATAAGTCGGATGTACCCCCAGCAGGACCACTTCCAYGATCAAGAGAGTTATTCATTTCCTATGGCTGCTTCATGGTCCCTGCAGCCCCACGGCTGAGGCTGCCAGGGGCAGACAAGGAATGGCTGCGTAGTGCCACCCTAAGCAAGTGCCCTGCTAGGGGATCTTTTTGCAGTCCAGTTTCCGAAGATCACCGGACAGCTCCCACACAGAAGCAATGTTCATAGTTACTAATCTAGGTTCACTTGGAAGCAATGATCTTGAAGCCAAAAGCTCCATTACTTAACTTCAACTCTCACAAAGCCCTCCTTTATGCCTAAGGAAGAACTTGCAGCTCACTCAATCCAAATGCTCTTAAGCAGAAAGCCCTAGAAACAAACCATACTGACAACAACTCTAGCTCAGATGGTATTTCCTATTTTTTCTGTTAAAATTGAGACAGGACCTCATGTGACACAGAGCATGCTCCAGAACTAGGCTGCTTTAGAATTAATGGGCTAYTGTAACCTCAGCAATAAGCTTCTCTCTGAAGGCATCCCAGGCTTTTAGCTGACTACAAATCAAGGATCCAGAGCCCTGTTTTGATGGTACAACTGTGTAATCTTGACTCAGACTGTGGAGAAAGAGTTAGGAGAAAATCTATAGAGATAAGAAGGGCAAAAAATACATACAGCGGTAAAATTGTTGAGATGAGATCATCAATAGCTCAAGGATTCCCGGGGGCAAACACCAACATGGAAAGATATAAATCTCRGGGGAAAAAGCCAAAAGGATTATACAAGAGAGTCAGTCTAGCTGGGGACTAGKCAAGGATCATTAGGGTCACTGAGCTGAATCCTCAGTGCCATCAGTGCTGACAGAGCTGGTGGCAGATGGCAACTCAGCACCACTGAGGATTTATCGCAGGGAGCTGTGGGGTTTGCCTCTTCCCTTCCCAACTGAGGTTTGCCAAAGATCCTTTGGGTGCCTTCACAGGGGTAGTGAGCATGCTAATGCATGCCTAGGCATAGCCTAATACTTCATTATATCCTAGCTAGCTTCTGTGTATGTTAGCCAATAAATAATCGTTTTATACTGTTAGGTTGTGTATCTCCTGCTTGCAGACTCCCTTTTCACCTAGCTGAAGATGCCCAGACACAGCAACCTGTAAGAGGGACCATAACGGCACCTGCGATTAGTTGTTACATCTCAGCCATAGCTATAAAAGGATCTTCACACGTTTCCTCTTGAATTCTGTTAGTACTCTTTTTTTTGGTGTTTATTATAGGTGAATTTGTATTCCTGTGGCAGCTGCGACTGACTGCTGTGACTACGCAGTGCCACGGCAAACTGCTTAGTGGTCCACAGGCACCTCTGTCCATCCATCCAGCAGGAACCTGTCCCACAGCAACTGCGGTTGTTTGAGCGTACGGGCCTCCCAGGAGATTTGGGGTACACACAGTTCAGTCATGATGTGCTCCACGCCTGCTGTGCCTGCCCACTGTTTTTGTAATGTAACTGCCTTACATTTTTGTCAGCCCTGTGTTTTTAACTGTGCTTTACTGTCATTCTTCAGCTTCGCAGCTCCTCCAGACCTCAGTCCACTTACAGATGCTCTTTTAAGTCTTACTCTGGACGCCCTGGGCATCCAGAGGCTCACGCAGACCTCTGCTTTTAACTTAAGTTTGCTCTGTGACTGTCGCATCTTTATTCCAGGCCATTTGCTTAACTCCATAGGTGCAACTCAGCCTGGATCTGACTGCTCTAGCAGGGACGTTGTTGGAGCTCCAGTGTGTAACCTCCCACTGTCAATGATGGGATGCTGGCAGGCGCACTAATAGAGCGTGAAGGTATTAAACAGAAGCAGATTTAACCATTGAGGGAGCTAGGCAAACAATGATGCTGTTTTCATGAAGAGAACTGAAGAAAATGACCAAAAAGAGAATTACTTTAATAAATGAGGCTTTTCAGTGCTTTATCTTGCAGCGCTGGACTGCTGCAGAGGGATCAGAGCCAACAGTACAAATGAATGTTGGAATTCCTAAGTGCAGAGCATTAATCTCAGAAAAAAAATAAAGTTGTTAAAAGCAATAAACTCTGTTTAAATATAGATCCTTTCTTTGATTTTTTCCTCTTACTAACAGAGACACAAGGGGGTTTCTCTCTGCAGGGAGCAGGTGGAGAGAGCRCCTCGCATTTTTCAAAATCCCAGGCTTAAGAGATGCTACTGGAGAGAAAAAAACCCTCGAAAGGAGAAGAGTTTGTGAAACGGTTAAAATCTCCTCTCTTACCTCTTTTCAATGTCAGGAATCCCAACCTCGGGCAGAGACCATGAGACAGATACCTCTTCAAACAATCTAACACATGGATTAAATGTGCTTTTCATCGCCAGAGGCTGGATTTAGAAGTGACTCAAATACCATACACAGTGTTGGCTGTGTTGATAAATCAGCAATGCAGTAATGCTGTGGCCTTAAGCTCTTCCCCCCACCAACTACTAAAGCAACACTAGCCAATAATCCCGTCTTTGAACTCCAGCCTACCACTTTTCATCACCTGAACTTCAAACCATTTCTGGTTTTCTGATCCTGTTCCTGCCTCCATCTGTAACTCGAGAATCCGYGCTCTGCAAGGGGCAGTGCCGGCCTCGCATGAAAACTCTCCCGCCTGGGGCCCCTTCTTTTCCCGGCTGCGTGTGTGTCTCCGAGCACCACCTCCATGACACAGCGCGAGGAAAATCTTTTGGCTATTGTCATAACTTCCGTTYGTTAAGCACCTTTTATCCCACAGGCCAGCACTGCAGCTTGCAGACAGAGAGTCAGGCTCGGCTTTTAACTGCGTAGGGCAACTCCTTGAAGCTCCTGAGTAACCGAGGACAATTTCAGACTGTACGCAGKGTTGGTGTGAAAATCTCCTCCGTACAGAGCACAGCACATTTATTAACATTTACGTTATGCTATGCAATGTTTAAGGAGGTTTCTGAGTGTGTGCTGACCTGTACCAATATTTTGGGTCTCTCTCTGTATGGGGGTAAATTTTCTCTATGGTTCCTGCTGTAAGGAGGTGCGTGTACGAGGTATGTGAGCATCACCATTCTGTGGCATGAATGTAGCAGCAGATTCGCAAAGAGGGACGTGAAACACGGCTTGGCTTTCAAGCTGTAGGGAGGTATCTGAGTCTGGCTGAATGCCRTTCCCTGAGCAGGAACAACGGCATCCCTCTGTTGATGAAAAGAGCCAAGGCCTAAATCATGTCAACGTGCTCTGACAGCAGCATCCAACGTGATCTGACAGCAGGATCCCAGAGAGTTTAACATTATTCCTCACATCAAACTGGGTCAGAATTCGGCTATGCCAATGCCTGGGAGGTCACCACCCACAAAGAGTTTATCACACAGGGACTGCCCTGACTCAGCCCTGCTCAGTCTCACGTATCAAGATCACAGAAGGGGGGCACGCTTGCAGCAACGTGGCTGCTTAATGGAGCCACGCAAGCCAGAGTCTGATTTTCAGGCCTGCAGCACGCACATCTCCAGCCGGCAGCCTCCCCCCGTGAGGCTTCGCTCGGCGCGAGCTGTCGCACCTTTGCCTGCCGCTGCAGCAACAACTTGCACAACCGATGGGCAAGCAGGGACACAGTTCAGCCCTGAACATCTGTAGAGAAACTCCAGGCAATATTTCAGCAAGAAAAACGCAGAGGAGACCTGGTTATCTAGAAGAGCTGTGATAGATAAAAGCATTGTTTTCACCAGCTAAGCTACATACAAGCGGCATGGGAATATTTTGTTTCAAAAACACAAMCCCCTTCTGACTAGGTTAACAGTGGCGCTCCGCTGACTGTCAGTGATAAGAGGGTAAAATTTATAAGGGAGAACAAGCCACTGAAACACTCAGCACTGCCACATTTAAGTCTCAGCTCTCCTGCCATCCAGAGGAATAYGTAACACTGAGCTGAGCCCTGTACATTACCTGGACACAACAAGCCTCCTAGGAACGAGGTTCGCAGAACAAATAGATTTTAAGGACTCCCTGACTCACAGTAGTTGGTAAGAAATGTGCCAGACTAGGATGAGGATTAGTCTCCCTGGGAAATTTAGGCCTGGGCAATTTTCCTGTGTTGCTTCCAGTCATTGCAGGGTAGCTGCAATGGTAGCTGCAATGCAGGGTAGCTGGACAGCACCACGGGAAGCTTGTGCAAGAGCAGCCCTGAGAACTGCAATACCATGCAACGTGGTGAGACTGTAAAACCACGC